CCGGTCACCGCCGGCGGTCGTGCGCCGTCGTCGCCTCGCCATGGCCGGCCGGCTTGAGCCGTGCCGAGCATGTCGCCGCCCACTCCCTCCCCCTTGAGCCACTGCCCGTGGGGCCCGCTTGCCAGCCGCCCCCTCTCCCCCCCTTAGTGCCGCTGATCAGTGGGGCCCGCCTGTCGGCGCCACCCCCTCCCCTCGCTGACGTCAGCCCTGGGCTTTATTGCGCAATAAATTGATTAAGGACTTTTCTTTATTAGTAAAAACACAGTTTATCTTCTAAAATTCATAAGTAATTCATCCGAGCTCCGTTTAAGTCCATTCAAGTCTCAGTAAATCAAGAAAAATGCAAAGAATCCATTAAAAATGGTTTTGTTCCCTGTTTCAGTTGTCTTATAGCCTGTTTTGCTTGTGTGCTTTGTTTGTCGCGTAGGTTTCGGCCGTTTTGTCGATCCACGGTTTCTCGAAGACGTTGCTGAGGTCTCGTCAGTGCGAGAGCAAGGCAAGTCATGCAATACGTTTGATCATATTGTACCCAATTTACAAATATCCCGCATTTCTATTAAATGTTGCATTCTTTTACAATGTAATGTGGGATGGGTCCTATTCCTCAGCCACATATTGTTTACCATATGCCGTTGATAACTTGGGTATCAAAATGACTAGATGTTGGTTTAGGAAATGCTTAGCCATGCTTAGTTCAACTAGCACACAAATGGGGATCACCTTATTACATAGACTTTGTCTATTGGCATAGCTTTAGATTGGTGCCACCGCAATGGTGTTAGTTAATTAAAATACACTGAATGGTGGGCTGTGGGTGCATGGTTTTGCTGGTCGCACCCATGGCAGTTAAGGACCGGTTCACGGGAAACCCTGGGAGACTTACCGTGCTTTCCACAAGCGGGAGTGGGTAACTGCTTGATCTGAAGTATAGCTCGACCCTTTCCTAGGCACCGGTGGCGAGGGTGGGCGTGATGGAGTTGGGTCGGCCGGGGTGTCCGGTTGTCCAGCTGCCGGATTCACCGCGGCGCAAGAGGGGACCGCCCACTGCCTTTTGAGGGGTGGGGGTGAAACCTTAGCGTGGTGTGGATGGTTAAGGGAGGGTTATGTGGAGGGTCTTGTCACGATTTCCCCCTTTGCAGTATCATGGTGATACTTCGGGGCATGGCGACATGTGTGGAATCGTGTCTTGTGGGTACAGTTGTACACCTCTGGCCAGAGTAAAACTATTCGAATAGCCGTGCCCGCGGTTATGGGCGATCAACCAGATTCACCGTGATTAGTCTCATTCCTAGTTTAGCTTAATGAACTGGTGTAGTTCAGGTGGTTGGTTGGGCCTGTTGCAACGTGGGGTAGCGTTGGACAGTGTTTGGTTAATATTGATTAATTACTACAACTATTTTACTGCCTTCAACTACTGTTTTTAAATGCTAGCTTTATGCAAAAGAACCTCTAGCCTCCTTTGGTTATATCCTGCATCATACCTCCTCTTCCGGTATGACTTGCTGAGTACAGTGGGTAGTACTCAGTCTTGCTCTCTTTTCCCCCACACCAGAGCTGAAGATCTTCCTAGTTGGAGCTGTTTTGTCAAAGTTGGTTTCATCGCTGCCGTCAAGGATTGCCTGTGGAGTGGAGTCGCCCGCTGCTGAAGTCAAGCTTCCCGGTTTAGCTCGCTTTTATCTTTTCCGCTGCATTTGTAATCTTTTCTATTTTTGTAAGACGTGGATCTGTATGTCAACAATTGTCGTTTGTGTACCCTGGCTGGTCCTGGACAGGGATTTAATGCACATTCAGCTTAGAAATTCTGGTTCGAGAATTTCTGGGCGTGACAACCGCCTTGAGAGAAGATGTCGACAAGAGGTGAAATGTTCCTAGAACTTCTTTTGCTAGATGGTTCAAATTACATATCTTTGAGTACTCGTGTGCTTAATGTGTTTAGGGCCATGGGTCCTCATATAGAGCGAGTTGTAGATGTGAGTATTTCTCCTCCTAATGATAAAGAGCTATCATTTGATGAGGAAGAGAAATGCACATATCTCAATGCTCAAGCTACTAATGTTTTGTTTAGTGCTTTGAGTGAAGATGTGTTCAAAACCATTATTCTTAGCACATTAGTTTTTGTTGGAAACATAGTAAAAATACAGGCACCCAAAACCTACCCCTATGAGCATGTTCGAAAAACTAGGCCGGTATATTTTAAGAGTGACGAAGTCATCACGGGCTTCTCGTTATCGATGGGTATGTCGCCTAACACTGAGCACCAGTGTCAAATCTAGGATTTGAGTTGAATGGGCTGATTACACCACAAGAAACCTAATCAGTTGAGTTACGCTAACCTCGCTCAGCACATTAATTTCATTGTACAAGAATCCAAGCATTTTTAGCAAGAACGGGTATAATAGCAGACAATAAGCCATCTATAAAAACATATCGAGGAGATAAAAGAGGAGAGAGAAGAGCAGCGGGCTACAGATTTGTAACCAGCTGTAGTACGGACTTGCAAGACGCAATGTGTGTATGGTAGGTGGTGGGACCAGGTATCAATTGTGTAGTATATGTTTATAAGTAACTATTGTATGTATTAACTATTAAATTGACTATAGATAATTTAGAGCTAATAGATGGCTATACTATTAAACTTGCTCTAAGTCAGATGCATAGGAGAGAAATATAAACAATTTAATATTTACAGTAGTGCTAATCCGCGCGTTGCGCGTGGAATATTAGTTCGAGCACCGCACAACGCTCCCTCCTTCCGGTTTTCCCTTTTTTACCACCCCACCTTTCCTCAGTTCGTTTTTTACCAACCCACCTCCCGTGTTTCTTTTTTCTCTTTTCCATTTTGTCGTGCTTCATCAAAGGGCCTGGTAAAATATTAACCATCCAGACTTTTTTGTTTTTGTTCATTCTATCCAGTTTTTCTGTTTTCGCATTTTTAGTAAAATATTTACCATCTAGTTTTTCTTTTCGAGTTTTCTGTTTTTCTAGTGTCTCCCCACGTTTTAAAAGTAATGAATTTACTCTGTGGAGTTTTTCCATTTACTCTCAGCCTCACACATCTGTTCATTAAAAGTAACATTTTTACTCGTATGAATGCCCCAGTTAAAAGTAACAAATTTACTTGCATGAATACCCCCACATCGTACGGCACCATTCTTAGATGGTCATAAAAGAATTACTACCACCTTATAACGCTAGTAATTCTTTTACTAGTGTTATAAATATTGTTTAGATTTCATGATCTGCGAGTAAAACAATTACCACCCTCCTCTCAATATAGCACATGATCTCGTAGTCACCGTGTAGTAATATATTTACTGATGTATTCAATACACAGTATAAGAGTAAAATTTGAGACCAAGAGTATTGTTAATATGTATCACAAAATGATCGTGCGAATGAAAAAAGTACAGGCTCAATCACACACGAATGATAAAATTACTCACAGGTGAATCAAAATAGAAAAGAAAAAAAATGATTCAATAAAAAATCCATCGTGAAGCCGGGATCCCTAGTGGCTTAGCTAGATCTTGCTATAAGGATGGAAAGGTTGGTCTGTGTCTTGTGACTGATAGTGGAGAGGGCAACCGGGTGGCGAGCGGTAATCGATGATGGAATCATGAAAGGATGTAGCGGCGTGGTATAGAGATGAGCACAACGTTGTGCAGTAGCAGCCATCCATCATCTAGCAAGCACAAAAAAAATGCAAAAACATTATCATTCATGTCATAGAGACGACGAGAAAAAGAAAAATAGCAAACAACCTCCATCACCGGCGGACTCCACCCTATCCTCTGCGGCTAGTCACATGGAGCACGATATACAAATGTAGGACCTGTGCAGCCCATCAATTCAAATAAGGTAATATTGGATATTGCACGTTAATTTAATTGGCAAAAAGAAATTGGGGCTTTACGCGTGAAGGTGTAGGAGAGTATGCAGATGCAAATCGAAATGTCATTTTCTTACTTGCTTCTTCTGTCAATGTCGCCGACATGGAGCAACCACTGGTTGTTGCTCTTGGCCCAGGTGAACACATCCTTATTGGAAAAATAGAATATATACTGAAAGTAAGGAAGTTGTTTTTATTGAAGTAAATCATTTACTCTGATAATGGTGGGAGCATGATGATGAGACATAGGGTGGGATCGAAAGTAGGAAAGTTGTTTTTATCGAAGTAAATCGTTTACTCCGATAATGGTGCGAGTGAGGATAATATGATGTAGGGTTAGGTGGGCCTGTGCTGATATACGTTTGGCTAGTAGTATCTCTATAATAGTTAACTAATAAGTTGACCAATAGGAAATATTTTTGACTGACCTTAATCTTTATTAAAAGGAAAGTTTGATATGGAGAGTACTAATATGTACTCCCTCCGTCCAAAAAAAATCAATTCCTAGCATCCCAAGGTAGTATTAGTGGAGAGTGGAAATGACTATAATGCCCTTAATTATTGAAAAAAAGTAGTAAGAGTGATATATATAAAGGGTATTGAAGAAATAAAACTTCTCGTTTTACGTGCTGAGTGTAGGTAAGATGGTAGAAGTTGGTTTTTTTGATAAAATTTAAACTCTAGAAGTTGAGTTTTTCGAGGGTAGGTAGGATGGTAGAAGATTTTTTTTTTATAAAATTCAAACTCTATAATTTGAATTTTTTTTGACGAAGGGAGTACTCATCTCGTTCCATAAAAAATAGTATAGGATATGACATATCATAGTACTATAAATCTAGATATACATATGTCCAGATTTACAGTATTAGCATATATCATATCTCGTTATTTATTTTTTTTATGGGACAGAGAGTATTTCATTGTTTACACATAAATATCCGTGAAATCCTCTTTGGAAGAATGTCCGCATAAGCAAAATTCAGCATTCACCATTGATGTGACGGATCAAGTTGTTAAAAAAAAAAAGAAGAAAAAACCATGTGCGCGCGTTTGAGAGACGAAAGCCGAGCCGAGCAAGCTGATACGGATAGGCAGCCGCTGATCGAACCGCGCATATGCCCATTGTTTGTTTGTTTATCCGTCGTAATCTCTCGCTTACAAAAATATCTCCCTTCTCCGCATCACTCACTACTCAACTAGCACTACTACTAGTAAGCAAGCAGCAGATAAGCATCACTCCCTCCCACTCCAACCACCACATCAGCATCAGCAAGCAGCAGCAGCAGAAGCAGATCGATCGATCGATCGCCATGAGCGTGGTGATCCTGGACGGGTCGACGGTGCGGGGCTTCGTGGCGGACGACGACGCCTTCGCCCGCAGCGTCGACGCGCGCTTCGAGGCGCTGGACGCCAACGGCGACGGCGTGCTGTCCCGCGCCGAGCTCCGCCGCGCGCTCGAGTCCTTCCGCCTCCTCGACGGCGCCGGGTTCGGCTCCGCCGAGCCGGCCCCGCTCCCCGCCGAGGTCTCCGCGCTCTACGACTCCGTCTTCGAGCAGTTCGACGCCGACCACAGCGGCGCCGTCGACCGCGCCGAGTTCCGCGACCAGATGCGCCGCATCATGCTCGCCGTCGCCGACGGCCTCGGCTCCCAGCCGCTCCAGGTCGCCGTCGACGACGAGGGGGGCAGCTTCCTCCTCGAGGCCGCCGAGCACGAGGCCGCCTCCATCGCCGCCAAGATCGACGCCCAGCGCGCCGCCGATGCCGCCGCCGCCGCCGACGCCAAGTGACGCCGGCCACGTCATCGCAACCGTTGCATCGGATCGGGCTTGTTTTTTTTTTTTTTTACTCTTCACGTGTACCGTGTCCGTGTGTGTCGAGGTGTCGGTGTACGTGTACGTATCACAGGTGGCAACGTACCTCTCTGCTACGCTTATCAAACTGGAGACTACTCTGCTTTGAATGGAAATAAAATAATTTTCTATCCACTCTAAAAAAACGTCATTTATTTGTACTCATTGTCTTTTTCTTTTTCACGCTACTCAGGCCTTTCTGAGTTGAGGAATTTTTGAATTTTTTTTATGGTTGTCATATCGGATATACACGAATACACATTTAAAGCATTAAACGTAATATAATAATAAAACAAAGGCACAGATGCCACCAGAGAACCGTTAGACAAATTTATTAAGCATAATTAATCTATCATTAGTAAATATTTATTGTAGCACACTTTCAAATTATGGAGCAATTAGTTAGGTTTAAAAGATTCGTCTCGCAATTTACACGCAATCTGTATGATTAGTTTTTTTCTATATTTAATACTTCATATGTTCCAAACATTTAACGTGACATGGTGAAAAGTTTTTATTAGGAAAGTAAACAGAGCCTAATTTTTACTACAGTAAGTCTTTAGAGTTGATGCTGATCAATCCTAGGAATGCTATCTGGCACACATACGTACTCGCACGGGTTAGCTGGCGTCGCCTTCACTGCGCCACATGTTTTCCATCTGTCTTTCCGCAATGTTTCCTCCATTCTGGCGGCCGCTTTCTGCGATTTTTTTCTCTATTTTGGTGTCCCTCCCCTCAGCGCGCATTTTTCATTTTCTTTTGCACTCTTTCCCTTTTTTTTTCTGAAAAAGTCCATTATACACCCTCGAACTTTTATACTTGTCTGAAATACACCCCCGAACTACGAAATCGGGTATAATACACCCTCTAACTGTGAATACCGGATACTTGACCCCCTTGGGCTGTTTTACCATGGATTTTACACACGTGGATGACATGTAGGATGCCCCTTCGCCACGTCAGCACTTATGATTATGTGGGCCAAGCCCATATTGCTGGGTTGTTTTGACGTTGCTTTTTCACGAGCGGCGGCGGTAGCGGCACTGCGAAGGCAGGGTTGAGCGGTCAGTGGCGCGCATCTCCGACAAGCAGCTGCGGTCGTCGGCGGAGGAGTTGTCGCAGGAAAGTAGCAGCTCCAAGCCGCTGCGCGCGGTCGTCGGCGGAAGCCGCGCACGACCGCAGAGATGGCTAAGCAGGGAGCAAGGAAGAAGCAGCTCCGACACAAGCGCGATATAGACCTCGTCACCTCGACCTGTCTCTTGTGACCTGTGTGTGATGCTTCTCCTGTTTATCACAACTACTCATATATACTGCTCTCCCTCCGTTTTAAAATGTTTGATACCATTGACTTTTATATACTACTCTCTCCGTTTCAAAATGTTTGATACCGTTGACTTTTAGTACGTGTCTAACCATTCGTCTTATTCAAAAAATTTAAAGTAATTATTTATTCTTTTTATATCATTTGATTCATTGTTAAATATACTTTCATGCACCCATATAGTTTTACATATTTTATAAACTTTTTTAATAAGACGAACGGTTAAACATGTGCTAAAAAGTTAATGGTGTCAAGTATTTTGAAACGTTGGGAGTATTACTAATCTCGGCAAGCTAGTACGTTGTGCTGCTAGCTACTCATCTTTGCAGTCATGAGCATGTCAATCCCAAGGCTAAACCTGTTCGGCTTCCACGCCTCCAAGCAGGACTGCAGGAGACGACGGACTAGCACAAGCACGAGCAGGAGCAGGAGTAGTACTCGACTGAGCCGGAGAACGCGCTGGTCTGCGGCAACGGAGACGGAGCTCGATCGCAGAGGAGGAGCTAGGCGGCCAGCGATGACAGAGCTAGCTCGTAGACGCCGGTCGCGCCGACCACAGTCTGATGGAGGCGAGCCCGCTCCTCATTGAGTAAATCTCGAGCTTGCTTCCGCCAAGCTCGGCGAATGGGTGCGCCAAACTCGCGGTGGTCATGGCGCTCGAGCTCCTCCCCGCGCGTGTATCTTCGGCGAGCTCCACCTCTCCACTCGGAGCTGCTTCGTCCCTGCGCCGCTCCCTTCGCCGAAGAACGCCGCCCCCACTGCCGCCTCCGCCACCACCGCCGTAGGTGCTGGAGCTCGATTTGGTTGCAGGCGGCGAATCTGCAGCTCCGTCAGGGACAAGATGTAGCAATGAGCTTGCCGATGGGTGTGCGGCGGTCCTCGCTGGGCAGATGGATGAGCCATGCGCCCATGCCGAAGGAGAGAGAAAGAGAGAGAGATAGAGAGAGAGTGGGGAGGAGGAAGAGGAAGGATCGGACTGACATGTGGGACTAACTAATCTATATAGGTGGCATCCTAGTGTAAAAAACCCGAAATTTTCACATCTAAGCATATGCAACCTTCTAATTCCAAATATGAGTAGGTAATGGATGGAGTTATATTTTTAATCAAGAAGCCCACATGTGTGTGTGCAGTGGTCTTCCATCGGACTTAATGTCAAACGAAATATAACAAACTAATGGCTGCTGATCATTGGACAAATCACTAGCTCGTAGGACTTGTTTAGGTCTAATTGATTGTTTGTCGTCAGAAAAGAAAATCTTATTACCATTTGCAATTGGTTGGATCAACCATTACGAGATAGGGCACCGTGCCGTCATGCCGTTAGTCTAGAGCTTTCTTCGTCTTTTTTTTTTCTTAATCCATATTTGACTTGGATGTTGTTTTCGTTTTGAAAATTGGAACTGTAGCGGTCGGTTGAAATATAATCCATCTGCTTGGATCATCAAAATCATAATATTATGTGTGCTAATAAATCTTGATTTGTTTCACATAGAAGCTGCATCAACAAAGGGTAATTATAATACTAGCGAAACATATTAGTGGATCATTTGCTTTGTGCCTGCTAGCTAGTTTGATTAGAAAGAGAATCCAGGACAATACATGCTCACATTTGGAATTATGAGGTCGCATGTGCTTAGATTAAAAAAATTCGATACAAAAACAGTGTAGAAAACCACTTAAGGGGGTCTTTTGCACAGTATTGAAAGTTTGAGGGGGTCAAATGTCCGGTTTTAAAGTTGTGGGGTGTGTTTTAGACAAGATAAAGAATTAGAGGGTGTAAAATAGAGTTATCCCTTTTTTTTTAATCTGCAGCACACGTGTTTTCAAGTTTTCAAGTTGAAAGTTTTGAAATCTTGACTCGAACAAATCTAAACTAAAAGTTTTCAAATTTTGAGTTGAATGTTTCTAAATCTGAGTTGAAAGTTTTTAAATTTACTTTCAAATCAAGATTTGAAAGTTTCAAATTCTGAGTTGAAAGTTTCCAAATCAAGATTTGAAAGTTTCAAAATCCGAGTTAAAAATTTTTTAGTTTCGTGTTGAAAATTTTCAAATCAAGATTTGAAAGTTTTAAAAACTGAGTTGAATTTTTTTTAAATTTAAGTTGAAAATATTCAAATATGAGTTTCAAATCTAGACTTGAAAGTTTTCAAATCTTAGTTAAAAAGTTTCCAAATCCTGAATAAATCTGATTTAAAAGTTTGTTCAGTCAACTAAAAAAAAGGAAAACACACGCGCATGGCGAATTTTTATCCCAAAGAAAAAGAGGGAAAAAAAAAGGAAACGCATGAGGGAGATTTTTTTTCTTGATATGAATCTATAACAACACGCAATAGAAGGGCGTACAGCTGCGCCAGTTAGCCAGCTAGCGCACGCGCCTATTAGTAGCCCCCGATCTATCCAAATAAAAATTAAGTAGTATCAAAATTTGGCACTATCAGGCCACGTTCGGTATTCCATTTTGGTACAACTTCCTTATTTTTCATTAGCATATGCTTCGTGAACGGCTTAACAATATTTTTCATTATTTAAAAAAGCTTTTTATATAAAAGTTTTTAAAACATTCAAATAAACCAGTTTTTGTTTTTCTAATAATTAATACTCAATTAACCATGTGCTAATTAACAATACGTTAATGCAAAAGAACGCTTTAGTTCGTGAGTGCTAGAGTTGGAGAATTTGTCAAAAACCAGGTACAGGATTCCCAGTTTTGCACATTTGCTCACTGGATGCGGCAACAAGCTTAGCGTCAAAAATCGGCCGGAGCGGATTTGCCACAAACTGTGGATTACTCCGGTTGTTACCGATGACCATATGCACTTGTAGCACTAGATAACACAAGCTGGAATCAAGAATATGCATTTACCATCTTGCAATTAGCCTTTAAAGTAGTGCTCCCTCTCGTTGCATATGGAACTTGGGTCTAGGTTTGTGCAAGGAATTAAGCAAAATAGTTCAAATGACTAGGTTATCCTTGAGTTACCAGACAAACAAAAATACTAACTACAGAAGTAAATGCAGATAACACAGCAGCCTATAGCGTTTATAGATCAATTTACAAAAACAGGTGATTGATTACATGTGGCAAGGTTCTATAAAACCATGACTGATTACATAATTGGAGGGTTTTTAAGGCAACTTGGTAATGGGTATACACCAAGAGTATAAGCAAAAGGCAATTAGGTACATCAAAAGCTTCAGGATTTCTGTACCCACAACATACAAATTAGCCATCTGCTCGACAGTTCGTTCAGTCATAGCTTACAATAAAACAAACTATAAGAGTTTATCTGACAGAGGTTGCATTGCATATAAACTGACAGCAGACTATTATCAGGTAGATACTTCATAAGCCAAGGATGAATTGCCACGGGCACACCGGAGTGCGCCAGTGAGGGTAAACCAGAACCGCCCGTGTCCCGCGATCCCGAGGTTTTCACCTCATGACGGGGACACGGTGGTTCTGGTTCATTGTGGGGTGGCGATCAGCGGATGCGAAGCTGATGTGCTCTTGGTGAGCCAGCATGCCGCCCCCAAATGAGATGCTGGAGATCTCGGAGCCTGTCGGTGTCGATGGCGAGCAGGATGTGCTGTTCTCTGGGCACAGGTTCTTGCCAAGGACAACGGCACCGCCGCTCGTTCTGGCTCTACCTGTTGGAGACTGAGCTGATGCCGGTGGTGGCTTCTGCTGCTGCTGCTGCTGCTGCTGTTCCAGCAGCTCCTTTTTGGTAAGGAACCGACCACCTGATCCACGGGCTCGCTTCATAGCATGATGATGTCGAGATTCATGGAGGTAAGGCTGGGAACATAATGGCATCACAATTATTAATACAATATAGAAAAGTGTAGTTACAGACAGCAGGCAGGAAGGCACGCATGCAGGAAACAAATGCAACCAAACAAGGACTAAACATAAGTGGCTACAAACAAAAACTAAGAATATTAATTTCGAATCATTACAGAAAATGTAACTGCCTCTATTGATGTTTGCAGGTAAAGGAATGTTACAAGCATAAATGATACATCTGACATCACTAAAAAGGACTAATCAATGAATAGTACCTGGAGGATTAAATCATCTAAATATGACTATGTGACACTGCCCAAGCTTGTAGAGATTGCTAGGAACAAATATGAAATGCTTCAGCCATACCTTCCGACCTTTCACCGCCTTATTTTGGGCCTCCAATTTTGCACGCGTTTGCCTTCTTCTAAGGATCGCATTGTATTGCTTTGCATTGACAAATATGGGCTCTTCTACAGAAGGATCAACAGGCAATGGCATCCTAGAGTTTGCAGCACCAGTAATTTGAGGATGAACCTGTTTGATAATACACAAGAGTTTAATACCACACCACATATATTTTGCAGGTTTTCTTCTATGCCTATATATTCTTCTAGGTTTTTCCACTGGGCATAGTCCTCACTAAATGTCATTATTATTTGAAAAACTAAATTTGTAGCATTCTCCTATAAAATTGGTGAGAACTATTTGGATAATTTTCATTTCCATTTGAAAGCATTTGTTGCTTCTGTTTGGATAAATAACAAAGAAAATAAAACAAAAGGAGGCTGAAAATTACAGCCCTGTCTTTACTTACAAATGCATGTGAAGTGTATCCTGTTAATACTCCACCATAATATGGATCAGTACCATATGGATAAGAAACACATGCCTGGAAAAACACAAGAACAGGTAAACTAAACATAAGGTTCAAACATAGTAGTAGTACTAAAGATTATGTTAACTTACAAAAGGCTGGTTGTAATCGAACTTTGAAGGAGGAAAGGCAGCTTCTGTGTTCCCCAAAGACAATACCGACTTAGTGCCATGGTCCCGCTCCCCACAACTATCATTGTTGTTAATATCTGAGGGGACAAACACTGTCATACAATAAGTGATGTCAGCCACTTGTTCACCTTAGAAACTGAAGTGATTTCTTATCTATACTATTTCAAAAGAAGCAAATGGTGGTGGTTTGTGGTGAATCTGCCACCACCCCCACCACCAATTCCCTGCTTTTTTGCGAAGGTAAAAACAAGAGTGTGGGTCCAATGGGCCCACTTATCAGCTGAAAGGTATATACAAAAATTAAGAGATGAAAATAGGTAAAATGTGATGACCAACATGGGTTGATGACAGTGTTCTTTTCTTAAATCCTGTACCAATGCACGGGCAATATGCTAGTAAATCGAACAATTGAAGTCGGTTACATGTGCCACTCTTTAAGAAGAGCATAACCCAGAGCATAAGAATTGATCACATAATAATGCACCCTCTAGTTATTTCATTTATTATGTAGAATTTTAGATGCCTAATTGATACAAACAGGAAAAGAACATGAATTGTGAACACGGGGGAATGCACACAGTGATCTCACACATACCAATCTGCGTAAGATCATATTTTGTTAATTCTGGATAACAAAGATATCGTATTTTTCAAAATATTAGAGTGACAACTTAATTCGCCATACTGAATTACATTACCATATATTTGAAGCCTGACCATTTGAAGAACAGATTTTGCTTTAGCGTTCTACAGGTGCAAAGACTCGTGATCTTTAAAGCAATAATGCTCAAGATCGAGACAATCATCATTTGAAAGGCTAGCATGATTTATTTCACTTATATACAACAACCACCCACTTGGCCAATCAACAAGAAGAAAAACTAAGTGTTTCTTTCATGTGGGTAGAAACATATCATTAGATGCATAATTAAATATGATTTAGGCCCGTGAATTTACATACAACATTCCAAACCAAAACATTGCTCCGTCCTATGCTGCTCAGATGGATTCCAAAGCAAAGATTTTTCTTTGGTGTATTCTTCTGACTACATAGTTTTGTAGCAGGTCTGGTTGCCGCAGACGTGAAAGTAGACAAATGAACGCTATGTAAAAGCTATGGGCAGGGATAATACAGAAGCACATCTAAATTAATTCCTATAGGGATTAGGGTTAGAATAGATATGGATTAAAACTCTTATCTGCCCTTAAGTAATAGTATATTTACAATCTTTCACCAAAATAAAGCAGGGAAGTAGGAATAATAGGTGAATGAGCATCATTCAAATGCAATATACTTCTTTTGTTTCAAACTTAAAATGGATGATATAGTCACAGAAGAATATATTCTGCGTTTCTGCAATTTTAGCCAAACCTCTAAGATTGAATACGACATTTTCTCTCACTGGCATAAAAATTTCACAATGAAACAAAGTTTAACCCTATCATGTTATGTGTGGTGACTGCATTTTTTGTTCTCTTTCATAGTCTTTTTATCAGAATATTCTCCCTTTACAGCTTATAACTCATATGGCACTGAACCGAAATAATAGGAGCAGGTACCAAAAGAAATTGTTTAGCTGCTTGAGAGTCAATCATGCATGTGTGTGTATTTCCAGAAACAGCAAATTACTAGTTCGAGGCTTCAAGCAAAACCACCACAAAATTTGATTGGGGGAAAGAATGCGTTTCTGGTATAGATGATGTCATTGAAGAAAAATGTATTACCTGATTGTGGTGAGGTGTGTTGTCCGTTGAGACTGCTGTCACTTACTGCAGATGCTTCTTGGTGAGACTCCCCAGACTTTGTTGGTGACGAGTCACCATCAGAGTTCCTCTGAACTAACTGTTTCATTGGATAGTTATTCCTGGCAAGAAAATCCTATTCACATAGAAGTGAATTGGTAAGTTCATTATCTTCAGTTTAATAGCTATGATTCAGTATCACACTGTGTGGAATATGTACTTACATAGTTGGTCTTGGCCATGCATTGGACAGGATGATTCTCCATTTCTTGCAACAGCATTATCATTATTAGAAGGCATTACTCAAGATCCACAAACATTTTCTGTCCTATTTTGAAGTTCAGAAAATTTTCAGGTCAGACTGACAGTGGCACATAAAGAAAGCCAAGTTACTAGATAAATTAGTACCTTGAATTCGGTTTGTATAGTATCCACATACAATGATTAGGGATTAGGTTGTACAAACATCCAAACTCAGCTGGATGAACAGTTGAAAATGATCGAAGCATAAAATAAATCAAAGAACTATTGTACGGCCTCTACAATATCATTAACAAACAATACTATGTCAACTTTATGATGGATTAATCTATCTAGACAGTACACCTCCAGGATAAGAAGTAGAACTCCTGAGCAGCATCATCTACCGGGCTAATCCAAAATAAATAAGAAAAAACAGTGTCCGCGTAGCACACCGGTAGTTACCAATGTAGAACACAAAAAAAATCACCCTAAAGCTGACCAAGAGCAAAGTACAGTGACAAATCTAGGCTACTTCAGATGCTAATGATCAGCATGTCCTATGACCGACAAGATGCTAAACTTTCTTCAGGACTACTTTCAACCACAAGGTTGCTGTTAAGTTAGAGACTTAAAGTAATGAGTAATCACTTCTACTATGTACTATCTCTAGTAATTACTTCCCTGTACTATCTTGCCTACGGAAGATCCAACTCAATCATTCAGAAGATTTTGATTGCTCCAAGACTTCAAGTACTAAACAGCGGAAAAAAAAATCCCACGTTTGCATAGTACATCAAACTTAGGAGAACTCCCGCTTTTCAGGGGGGAAATAGCAACTGAAATCCGCCAAGAATTCAACCAGGATAACCTATTTATCATCACACAAAGGCAATCTTGCTAAAGAAACTTCAAATATTGGCACTAATTCCTCTGTACCCTAAGCATCCACTTTAACGCAGAACTAAATCAGAAATGTCAATTAAGAACCGTACAGTCCATCCAAAGTCAGAAGCTCTGTCTCATTTCATTGGCAGAGAAGAAAGTACACAGCATGTACCCAAGAAAAGGGGGGTAAGCACTGAAAAACCATCCAGATTTTGAACTTGAAAGAACACCAAATCCAGCAAAGAAAAGGTGAAGCCAAGACTCCTCAGTCTAGCTAGCCCACAGACAAAATCAAAGCAGCAGCCTTAAATTCCTGAAAGCCTCATACGAGTTGTACTTCTTTGTTCATGCAAAACAAATTCTGAACCAAAGAACAGCATATACAGAGAAAGAGTAACAAACCAAGAACCAAGGGACATAGCTATGCTCCCCCTTACCCCAAATCATGCGGAGATCCAGCTGAAACTGAAAGTAGAAGAAGGAAGACATGGAGGGGGGGGGGGACATGAGCAAGCAAGAAGCAAATCCACACCCACCCAACCCAAAGCCGCAAGTCAACAACTTCTACCAAGACACATGCAAGCGCCATAATCCAGGAACCCAGCCCCATGAAAGAATATCTTGAAAGGGGAACAAATTTGGAAGTGAATCAAGTGGAAGCACAAGAACAAGAAGAATACCTCTCTCTTTCTCTCTCTCCCTCTCTCCTCCCCCAATCAAGACTCTCTCTCTCTCTCTCTCTCTCTCTGGGGAAAGATCGAGGGCAAAGAAATGGTGGCACTACTACTACTAGTGCTGAAGCATGACGATGAGGCTGCCTCCTCTGATCCTCACCTCCCCTCTTCGGCTCTTCCTGCCAAATATGCACTAGAGTCTCTCTCTCTCTCTCCTTTGTACTACTATTGAGTCTTTCTCTCTCCTATGTGTATTTAGGGGGAAAAAAAGGATTATGTCACGCTCTCGCCACTACGGCACCACCATCATACATCATCCACCGGAGAAATTCTTAGGTGCACACAGCCACACACACACACCATCATCACCATACATTGGTCCATGGAGAACCCAGTGCGCAAGTTCTCGCCGAATGTATGAAAAGTGTGTTTGCATGAACGCGTTGGAAGTTGATCTACGAACAGATGATGACTTGACTCCATCTTTAAAAATGACGGCAATTCTATGACGGCATCTTTAGCAGTACTCCCTCCATATACTTCATATACTTTTCATAGATATATTTTCAAATCTGAAAAATTTATTTTTATAGGTATACGGAATATTTCAATCCAACAACCTAGCATCTTAATGACTCTTAGATTTAACCTATCATCTTAATGACTTTCTCAGATTTAGTACGTGACTCTATTCTTCCATACAAGATTGGCTACATGGGCATCGAGAAATATAAATATTAACGAATTACTTGTTTACGAGGAATGACTAGTAGTATGTTTAAATAGATTATAAGTAGAATTACTTATCCTTAGTCTGTGTGTTAAGATGAAATATGACTATCAAAAGTAAATTGAGGAAGTATAAATCAGCTATAACTACATGTGAAAAAGATAAGAGATGAGAGAGAAGAGAAGTGTAGATCAGCTGCAGCACGGACTATAAAACGTTGTGTGTATGACATGTGAGATCAATTATTAATGATGTGGTATACTCCCTCCGTACTCGTAAGGGCAACAACAATATATATAGTAAAAGTAGTACATATAGATGGGACTCACATATATGGACTTTAACTATTGTAATCTTCACAATGTATATAGATAGCAAATAGTATTAGGAGGAGAGAAGAAGTAGAGACAAATAATATATTATATTCTCTATGGGCAGCACATATGCTTACAGGTAGCTTTTGTTATTTCTTTCCTATTAACTAGTTCCACAATGTTGCTAGGTAGTTGAATGAAATATTGTATTACTTATGGACCACTTTTGGACTACATTGTGGATGCCTAAAAAAAGTCGTTTTGGACAGCGACACAGTCTAAAAAAAACTTTGACTTCTTGTTTCTATAAAAATATTTATTGAAAATTGATATATGTATACTTTTATGAAAGTATTTTTCAAGACAAATCTATTCATATAATTTTTAATTTTCAAACTCAATAACTTGAGAGTTATTCATGATTTATATTCCCAAGGTTTGACTTAAATATTGTCATAAACGACTTCCTTTACAAGTACAGAGGGAGTATATTTGTAGTTAACTATTGTATAAATAGGCTATTAGATTGGCTGATGATTTAGAGCTGATAGTTGGCTATACTATTAAGTACTCCATCCGCCTCATAATATAAGGGATTTTAATATTTTGTTTGCACTGTTTGACCACTCGTCTTATTCAAATTTTTTTTGCAGATATAAAAAACGAATAGTTGTGCTTAAAGTACTTTGGATAATAAAGTAAGTCACAAAAAATAAATAATAATTCCAAAAAAATTTTAAATAAGATGAATGGTCAAATAATGCAAATAAAATATCAAAATCCTTTATATTAGGGGACGGAGGGAGCATGTAGAAGATGTTCATGTATGTCGTGCATTTTATGTAGGGTTGCAATGCACTTTTAGAAAAGCATTTGTTTTCAACTTATTTTTGGAAGTTGTTGAATGAAGTTGATAAAGGGAATGAAGCTTGTGGGTGCTGATTCACAGCTACTTCAAATCTTCATGACAGATGAAGGGTTTTTCTCTTTAATTTTCTATGAAGAAATTTATTGCGGGACACTAATAAAAGGTTTTAAGCAGCAACTGCCTCATAATTATTTCTTTGTTTTCTAAGAAATGAAGTACATGTACTAGACTACTTTTCTAGTGACAAGCGATTCGATTTATGACACCACTACAAAGATAATTATCAGACGGTTAAATGTAGGATATGAACTATATGTACCAAATTAATATGTCGATCAAGAAAATATGATTGCTCGCACTGTACAACAATATATAAGAAAAATAAAATCACATATAAATATGAAGTAACTAGCTCCATTCATAAGGTACTCGGATCTCCATCCTCAAACAAGAACTTAGTATCCGCGAAATGGCCTGTAGCTTAATGGTTACAAGAGCCTCAGTATTACCTTAGGTTCTGGGTTCGACTTTTCATATGAGCGAATTTTCCAGGATTTAACGGGCGACGTACCCGTCGACAGCGATGCGCCTATGATGACTTTGTCAATTTTCAGGATGGATTTACCGGCCCAGTCTTTGAAGATGCTCATAGAGGTAGGGTTTACGTGCGTGCGTTCATAGAGGTGAGTGTGCGTGCATTGTGAGTGTCTGTGTTGTACTGTGTTATTCTCAGAAAAAAACTTAGTAGGGTGAGTGTGCGTGCGTTGTGAGTGTAACTTAGTAGGGTGAGTGTGCGTGCGTTGTGAGTGTCTGCGTTGTACTGTGTAATTCTAAAAAAAAACTTAGTATCCAAACCAAGGTGCTTCGAGGCAACTGTCATCCGTCATCCTACAAAATTTCAAATCTAAATTAATCTAATCACTATAATCGAGAAATCTGTTGAAAATTTCCAAACTATTTGTACGCATTTTCTTTGGTTTGGAACATCTTATAGTTGGGTTGCTCCTTGAATCACATTATTTCTAACAAATGCCATTGATAAGTTGACAGAGAGGAATAGATGGAACCCCTAATGACGGTGGTATTTATGTGACAAGTTGACTTGTACAATAACATTTCCTGAAAGTTCTATTTGTCGATGATATTTTTTAATAATAAAGCATTTTCAATTATATTTGTTGGATTTTCTTAGATAGATAAACATACAGTAGAGAGTCCATGTCGTCTATCAATAGCATTGGATAAGGAGAAGCTCCTCTAATGTATAGTCGTCTGACGTAGGTTGTTGATATATGAGCTCACGAGCAGGCTCACATGTTAGTTTATTGAAGCTATAAGTTACTCCCTCCGTTTCATATTTTAAGTTATTTTATTTTTTTAGTCAAAATTATTTAGGTTTGACTAAGTTTATAGAAAAAATGAGCAACATTTATAACACTATATTAGTTTTATTAAATTTAGCATTGAATATTTTTTTGATAATATGTTTGTTTTATATTGAAAATTTTAGTAATTTTTTTTATAAAAAAAGTAAAACGAGTTATAATATAAGTGGAAGGGATAAGTTAGAAGATTGTTTATCGTTGGTAGCAGCATAGCGAGGGGTAGCTGAGATTATGTGCCCTGGGTCCCTGGCATTGTTCGTGTAGGGGCAAAAGTGGAATGTCATGTTGCTACTACTAGTATGCTATTGTCCTGTTGCAATTGCACAAAAGAGGGCCATGCAGTTTAGGCCCTGTTTAGGGTCTGTCTTGATCCCTTGGCAAGTTTTTCCCCTCGCAAGTTTTTCCACCCTATCATATCGAATGTTTGGATACATGTATGAAGTATTAAATATAGAAAAAAACTAATTACACAGATTACATGTAAATTGCGAGACGAATCTTTTAAGCTTAATTGCTCCATGATTTGATAATGTGATGTTACATTAAATATTTGCTAATGATGGATTAATTATGCTTAATAAATTCGTCTCGTAGTTTATAGACAGATTCTGTAATTCGTTTTGTTATTAGACTATGTTTAATACTTCAAATGTGTGTCTGTATATCCGATGTGACACGGCAAAAATTTTCAGCCTCGGATCTAAACACCGCCTTAGTTCCAGGGATCAAAAGTTTTGGCATCAAAAATTTTGGCGTGTCGCATCGGATATACGGACACACATTTGAAGTATCAAATGTAGTATAATAACAAAACAAATTACAAATTTCGCCTGTAAACTGCAAGATGAATTTATTAAACTTAACTAATCCGTCATTAGCAATTGTTTACTGTAGCACCACAGTGTCAAATTATGGAACAACTAGGATGGTAGCCCGCGCATTCGCGCGGGCATTCATGAATCATTTCTTAAATGTTTCTTTTAAGATATTTGTTAGTTTACAATATGTAATATTTAATTCATCTATATAAGCACATATCTATAAAGTTAATCATCTTCATCATTTAAGAAGACGTAGGTCTTTAAATCCAAATTAAAGTAAGGTGTTGTTTTTCTTTTTATTTAAATGTTTTGGGCTCCTATTTTTTAAAAAAAAATCTCAAAAAGGTTATTTATAATAAATGTGTTTTATTACTTCTTTTAATTGGTTCGCATTTGATGCAATTTGTTATACGTACTTATGTATGAATCAATAAAAACATAGAGTAGATATATTCTAGACCTCGCTTCCTATAATATGTGTGATCTATATATTTGTTTAAATACATTTAGTCAACCTGAGTGTTAAAACCCAAATTTAATAGTAAGAAATATAATATTCAAAGCCAACTATCTTCTGCTATGGCATAGAACAGAGAGAAGTCTATTGATATGTAGTCACTTAAAAATGATGAAGTGGTTATGCATGGTTGTCTCAATTTAAGGGAAAGTTACGAACCACAATGGTTCTAAGAAATTATAAGGTTTTCTAGAATTGGTTCATTTTACACTTTTGTTTCATTTTATACAAATATTATTTTAAGTTCAAATGTATGATATGACAAATAGTGACATCATTACACCCTGTGTGTCAACTTTTTTTTAAAAAAAAATTATCAGTAAGCAAGTAAGATTGGTATAGATTCTCATTATTTATTAATAAATAGATTATATGGGACATAAGGCTACGGTAAATTGATAGGTTTGTATACTCCAATATATTTGCATTATGTGATAGATAATTCATTTGGGAACGATTCATATATAGTGCGTGAGGCTCTACACAACCATTGTGAAAACGATTTGATGGCTAATAATACATCATAGAGAGAGGGAACCGAATAGGTAGAGGGACCGATATATACATGTATATACTAAGTACGCACTTACATGATG